CTCTGGTCCTGGACCCCAGGTCCCATACAGCGCCTCTGCTGGGCAGCGCCCCAGCCCTGCCCCACTCTCTTCTTCACCACGGGGGCCTCAGTCTGCCCCACCCACCCTCCCCCTCTTCCCCAGACCCACCTGGAGGGAGCCACGGGAATCACTCTCCACACTGCCTGGCTGCCATATGTATGTGCACACACACACGTGCCATAGTGACCCTGCTTGATCAGCCTCTTCCTGCTCCTCTGAGCCCCAAGCAGCCCCTGCAGGCATGAACCCTGCCAGCCTGCAAGGGGAAACCTGCCGTCCCCTGCAATTTTCTCTCTTATGGGAGAAAATTCACATTTCTCTCCCTAAAAGGAGAAAATCTGCATTTTTCTCCTTAAAAGGGGAAAATCTATGTTTTTCCATGGTAAGCAGAAAACCCAGATCCCTGCTCATTTCCTAGGCAGTCTATAATGTAAAGTGACACTCCTAAACATCCAGATCCCAAACATTAGATCCAAATATTTAGATGCTGTGAAAACAAAGTTCTACTAACTTAGTGCGAATAAAAGCATTTTCATTTTTGCCTTTATGTCTGCTAAAGCAGATATTTTTTAAACAGGCCCTTCTGTAGCAATAACAGAAAACCAGCAAAACAGAAAACAGCAAAAACAGAACAGCAATAACAGTATTTCACTAGCAGATGTAAACCCTCAATTAATCTAATTAGAAATGGTTTTGAATTTAAAGTAAAAGTGACCAGACTAGATTCACAGTTTGGGAAGAGCAAAATGCATGTTATAACAATTTATTATTATCATTACTATTGTTATTATTAGTAGTAGTAGTAGTATTTTAATTTCAATAAGCTAGAGAGGTTTAAAAAAAATGAAAAGAAAGCAAGTATCTCTTGAAAGCTGTCACATGAAAAAGCATTTATTTTAAAACTGAAAAATGAGGCCTTGATCCTGTAAGCACTTGCATATATGCTGAATAAGATTGTTCATGTCTGCAAAATTAATCATGTGCTTAAGTTCTTCTGGGGTCAGGGACGAAGTTTTAAGCAAAGATAGTCACATAGAAGGAAAAGTGAAAAATATATTTGGAAGCTTAGCTCACTCTTCATTAAAGATCTTTGATAAATAGTCAGAAAGAATAAAAATTCACATATTATGTTGAGTACAATAAACAGCCAAAGAACACTTATTTCTTTTCTTTGCAAAATTAATCGTAGAAGGACACCAGTTGTTCAGCTCAGTGAATTTATAGTACAACGAATTGCCCTGTGATTTCATTCATGTAAAATTGTTTATAAAACAATCCTGCCACTTATTTCATTTCTATATTTCCTTTACACAGCAGCATACCCTGGATATCTGAGGTATCTATAATAAGCACATTATTAAATGCATCATAACAACCATCTGTTTCCTTTTCAGAAATCCAAGTCTATTTAGCTACTATTAACTGAACAGTCACTTACAAAAATAGGCAATTAAGCTAATAGAGATATTTCTTGCCCCGATGTGCAAATATTATTTTTCTTTCACACTTAAAATGTGGTTACATTTCCTAAGAAATAGTAAATGGACATACTAGAAGAAGGAGTTTATTAACCAGGCTATATAAGTATATTTAAGGCACACTGGTGAGCGCTGGTTTTTCCAAGGAATGGACCAATGGCAAGGGAATTATGGATATCAGTAATGATTTAAAAAATAGCAAAAATTAATTCTTTGCTTTGGTAAAACTTCAGCATTGCTCTCAAAGCTGAGATTACTTAACAGTACAAGCAAAAAGAGACCCAACTATTGCTCCAAAGTGATTTTTATCCTAGTTTATACAATCCTGAGAGTAAAAACAAAAGATATAGTTGATAACAGTTAAAATGATACTCCTGGTATAAAAGCAAATATACTTCAGTAAAAATGTATCCCTCTCATGGAGAATTCCTTGAGAAGCTTTTCATAGAAAACTGGCACACAGAACATGTATAATGCAGAGGGCTGTATTTCCCTAGTGTCCAGCCATATCAATTGAATTTATTGTACCAATATTATGTTACGGTAAGAATAGGGAAAAGTTATTTTAGCATGTGCTGCAAAAACATCATCTGGTACTAACTTTTGTACAGTATTGCAGGATTCAATGGTGCCTAGGAAAGCTCAAAGTAAGCTATTATAACAAGAAGAATTATTATTTAGAAATCAATTTATTTCCTTATTTAGTGAGATAATTTACAGTTAAAAATTGCTTTAATTAATATCAAGCACACATCTCCCACACTGACTTCAAAGATATAGGGTAAGGTCCTGAGTAACCAAATTTTCACCATGTATTTTTAATAGAAGCTGTATCATCAGCTTATAAAATGGAGGTGGGAAATGATGCTGTGTCATTAATTGTGAAAACCATTTCTGTTTTCTAAAATCCAGACTTAGCAGGAGAAGCAATGCATTAGATTTTAGAGAAGCTACGCTTTCTTGGTGAAGAAGTAAGTTTTCAGAGAAGCTATGCTATCTCAGTAAAGCAATGAGTGTGTGACCAATTAAAAACTGATCAATTTTTGGCTCACTGTTACTAATTATAAAACGGGTATGCACAAGATCATCAGTATAACTCTGTATGAATCATATAAGAAATAAATCCTCCAAGCAGTTTACACAGGCACTCTGATACCATGGTGGTGGGAACAGGACAATCTCTAAAAAACTGAAGAACAAAAAGCAGAGAGTGTACAGTTGTAGCCAACCTTTAGCATCTGGAATGAACCTCTTGCTGGGCTTGACTTGAAAGTTACAAGCAGATAGAAAGAAACCTAACTGAAAAGAGAACTTATTTAGACCGGGGTCTCTCTTACCTGGAGTTGTTTGATCTTGCTGTGGCTAATGTACAGCCTCTTGGTGGTGAAAGGCATCTCTGTAGGTATCTCTATAATTCTGTAGCACTGCACTGTCTGTGCAGAGTCACAGTTGCATCTTCTGGGGCAGGTGGTACTTGAACCACTGTAAAGAGGAAACAAAAGGAGTAAAACATAAGACACACACATCTTCTGAAACAGGAACCCTGAAACCGCGACATTTAACAGCAACAGAGAGTGTGTATTTAGGCACTAGAAGCCCTTTTATACCATGAAATCTGATAAAAGGCTGTTATAACTGTGTGCTTTGCCTGTGTGAAATGGCAGCAAAAACAATACCTTAATTTGCCTGGGTTAAAATGTTAGCAAGCATTACAAAGAGTGAGGGGCTTAAAGAATGATAAGGTGCCTTTATATTTCTAGGTATGTGAAATTAGTGTTATTTATTGCCTGACATTTAATCTGCAAACATCCATATTATCTGCAGTTTCCTAGTTTTGTTAAATGTGACACCAGAGAATTAGGGGGGAAAGATAAAGAGCTGTTTTATAGTGGGCTATAAAACCTTTGTATCTTCTGTGACCCTGTATTAAAAACATTTAAAAAAACAAACAAACCCAAAACAGACATTGAAAAGTTTCACCCCTTCCCTCACATTATTCAGGCAAGTTTCCCCTCCCCCTCCCCTGTGAAACAGCTTTAAAAGAACAAATAGATTTACTTCCCAAATCATTTTGATATAATGTAGTGATGCTGGATGATACATTTTCTTATGGGCTTACAGACATTCAAAAAGCCTGAGGCAGAATCAATCTAAGTTACACAGTTTTCTGTAAATGACTTAGTTTAGATTGGTTTGATGAAAAAAAATCTGTTACCCCATGGCTTGAACAGCTTGTATGTTGCCACAAAATTCCAAATTGAGATACTCCTATTCTTTTTTTAAATTAAATAGTTGTGAGACATTAGAAAACTTTTACTATATGTCCAGTGGTATAGGATCAAGAAAGTGTTATTCATTTAAGGTCCATTTCCCTTATCTCAGGTGGGGAAAACTCTGAGGTTTCTTTTACGGCGCTTTCTCCACAGTTAATCAACAAGAGAAGGGACTTTCTTGTAGAATAAAGTATGAGCTGATATCCCACCTTTGTGGATCTCTGGTCTGCAAGTACAGAAGTCAGTGACCTTCATAGCAGATTCCTCTCTTCAACTGAAATACATTTCCACTTAGACCTCTATGGAGCTGGTCGTAGCAATCAGGAACGGTTTTATGCCTTTTTCCTGCTCTGAGACTTACTCACGGTTCACACAGAGACCTTTGGCTCTCTAAAATGTATACTGCACAGCCTGCGGAGAGGGATGATGTGTCCAGAAAGAGAACTAAGCCGTTTTTCCATAAAGGAAGGGAAAATCCATGGCTGTGACTCACTTCTGAATGAGGATCTTGACTGGGGTCTCTTTTTCTTAACTGTTCTGTACAGCCAGTGAAGAAAGTTCTTTCGCATACGAATCAGGGGCCTTTGTCCTTTTCCTTTGCTTTAGCAGTTGCAAACAAAAGGATTTCCACATTTTTAAATGATAGCTTTTGTGAAAGGTGCCTCATTAATAGTCACAGACTTGTAAGCCTACAGAGAGCAAGAGTTAAATCAGGCATTGGCAATGCCAGTGTTCTTAGACTACTGTGGTAGTTATTGCCTAACACAGTTCTTGAAGGACTTTGGGCCCAGTCCTGCTTCTGTTGAATTTAGTAGTAATATGTCGCTTTACTTTAATGCAGTTTTCCCAACCAGTGCACTGCGGCACAACAGTGTGCCATCAGAAATTAACAGGTGTGCCGTGGAATTTTGCCATGGCAATGAGCTACAATGAGCTACAGTAGGTATGAGGATGGGGAATGCCTTAGCAAGTGTGCCGCAGAAATTTTTTATTAATGTAAGTGTGCCTTGGGCTGGGAAAGGTAGGGAAACACTGCTTTAATGGAAGTAAGATGTATAATTATGAAAGCCATTCAGTCTTCATAGCCATGTTTGGCTGGTCTCCTGAAGGTATCAAACAGCTATGCCAACTAGACGTGAGTGAAAGGTTTGAAAGATTTAACTGCAATTTTGTAAACTATTTTAAAGAATATTTAATCAATTTAGTTTCATCTGTTTTCAGTATTTCACAATGTGGAGGTATTCTTTACTCCAGGCACTCCTTTATTCCACACTTATTGTCTTATCTTTTATTTGGCTTTTTTATGTCCTCATGAGTTCCTTATGTCCTCATCATGAGTTGGGCTCAAAAATTACTGAGCTCTCAAACTGACTGGAAAGTTCCACACAGTATGTGCTAATCTGTGCCATGAGTGTTGGAAGAAGACTTTTATAAATTAAATTTAAAATAATTTATTATTTTACATAACATTTTCCCATATTTTTAAATGCTTAAAATATGACTAACTCAAAATGGAATTGTGCTAGGTTATCACAAGGCATTCACGTGGCCATGGAACTATTTTCAAGTTTGTAGCAAAGAGGCATGCAAGCTGTGCAAAAAATATTTGCAATTATATTGTACAAAATAATATCATTATTATTTAGAATGATGCATGTGCATGTTTATTTACTATTCACGTTCAAAAAAATTGCTGAGTCAATTTTTCTGATTTTTTTTGGTTAAAAGTACCCTCTGGAAGAGACCATGTAAGAGAAATTCAGCCCTAAAATGAAAGTTTAAGAACATTAGAATCAATTGAAAGAGAAAATTTGGATTGGGAACATTTACTCAACCTTAATTTCAATGAGCTAAGGAGATTAGTTGGGGAGAGACTGAGGTCCCATAGAGGAGGGGAGTTGGGAGTCCAAGAAGAGTGGTCATTTCTTAAGGAGACATCTTCCAAGCTCAAAGGGTGGCAATCCCAACAAGGGGCAAAGGGAGCAAGAGTGCTCAAAAGCCCCCTTGGCTAACAAAAAGCATCCAGGAACGTCTCACAGCTAAAAAGGAGGCGTACACCCAATGGAAGGGAGGGGCCATCACCAGGGAGGATTATATAGCCATTGCTCAGGGCTGTAGGGAGGCTGTTAGGAAGGATAAGGTGAAGATGGAACTGGGACTAGCAACATGGGTCAAGGACAACAAGAAGTCCTTTTTTAAATACATAGGGGGTAAAAAGAAGGTTCTTGGTAACATAGGGCCTCTGCAGGACACGCTAGGAAGTCTGGTGGTCGCACCAGACATCAAAGCTAACTTATTTAACAACTTCTTTGCCTTCATTTTTCTGAGCAGGGACCAGGTCATCCCCCTCATCATGATCCCTGACAGTCCTAGGGGAGGTGCAGCCAGGCCCAGGGTTGGAGTGGACCTAGTCAGGGACCTCCTGGTGGGACTGGACATGTCCAAATCAGCAGGTCCTGATGATCTCCACCCCAGAGTGCTGAGACAATTAGCAGAGGTCATTGTGGATCCCCTGGCATGGCTTTATGAGCACTCGTGGTGCTCTGGTGAGGTGCCAGAGGACTTGAAGAGGGCCAATTTGGTCCCCATTTTCAGAAAAGGGAGGAGGGAGGACCCAGGAAACTATAGGCTTGTTAGTCTTACCTCAGTCCTGGAGAAGCTCTTCGAGAAAAGTATCCAGGGGCACATCTGCAAGGGACCAGCAGGGGAGTGTATGCTTAGGGGCAACCAGCATGGGTTCATCAGAGGCAGGTCCTGTCAGACCAACCTGGTGGCCTTCTATGATCAGGTCACTAAATCTTTGGACGCAGGTATCGCGGTGAATGTAGTCTTTCTGGACTTTAGAAAAGCCTTCAACGCTGTCTCTTACCCCATTCTCATTAAAAAATTAGGCAACTGTGGTGTCGATCCCTACATGGTCAGATGGGTCGCCAATTGGCTGGAGGGCCATACCCAGAGAGTGGTGGTGGATGGGTCTTTTTTGACCTGGAGGAATGTGGGCAGTGGGGTTCCGCAGGGCTCAGTCCTTGGGCCCACACTGTTCAACATCTTCATCAGCGACTTGGACGAGAGGGTTTATAGCACCCTGTTCAAATCTGCAGATGACACTCAGAAGTGGGGGGAGGTGGGCATACTAAAGGGGAGGGACAAACTGCAATCAGATCTGGACAGGTTACAGAGGTAGGTGGATGAGAATAGGGTGGGTTACAACACTGACAAGTGCAAGGTACTGCACCTGGGGAGCACCATACCTACAGGCTGGAGAATTCCCCTCTCGCCAGCACAGAGGCAGAAAAGGATCTTGGAGTCATTATTGACTCAAAGATGAACATGGGCCGCCAATGTGGCAATGCAGTCAGAAAGGCTAACTGCACCTTGTCATGCATCCACAGATGCATCACAAGCAGGTCCAAGGAAGTGATCCTTCCCCACTATGCGACCTTGGTCAGGCCGCAGCTGGAGTACTGCGTCCAGTTCTGGGCACTGCACTTCAGGAGGGATGTGGACAACATAGAGAGGGTCCAGGGGAGAGCCACTTGCATGATCAGAGGACAGCAGGGCAGGTCCTATGAGGATAGGCTATGGGATCTGAACCTATTCAGCCTCCAGAAGAGAAGGCTGAGAGGGGATCTGGTGGCCGTCTATAAACTGGCCAAGGGAGACCAGCAGGCAATGGGAGAGTCCCTGTTCCTCCAAGCACTACTGGGAGTAACAAGGAACAACGGCCATAAGCTGACAGAGAGCAGATTCAGGCTGGATATCAGGAGGCACTACTTCACAGTCAGGGTGGCTAGGATCTGGAACCAACTTCCAAGGGAAGTGGTCCTTGCTCTTACCCTGGGGGTCTTTAAGAGGAGGCTATATAGACATCTTGCTGGGGTTGTCTGACTCCAGCATTCTTTCCTGCCTGTGGCAGGGGGTCAGATTTGATGATCTGCCCCAGTCCCTTCCGACCCTACTACTAGCTATGAATTAATTTAAATAAGATGAAGAAAAAAATCACAAGACACAGCAGTAAATACTATGTGCCTCTTATGCACTAAATCTGTGTTGCTTTAGCTCTCTCTATGCTGCTCTTTATCTCAGGCTTGTGTCCCAAAGTTGAGAGTTCCTCACTTAGCCCTTTTATTTTTGGATGAAGCAGAGAATGCCACAATATTTCAAGATCTGAACGAGGCAATGAAGGCTGAAAAGTTTTACTTAACTACT